TTTTTTTTTTTTTTTTTTTTTACTATCAAATATATAAACTAAAACTAAAACGGTCTATTGACATTGGATGATGAAAGTCGCTAATTTAGGGAATGATCATTATTTATGATCAAAGAATACTCTCACTCATTGATATGAGGCATTTTGGGAGAAGCCCAGAGCAAATTCATGAGAGCTTATGCTCAAAGTGGACAATATCATACTATTGTGGAGAGTCGTGTTCATCTAACACAGTATCAGAGTCATGCCCTAAACTTAGTCGTGTCAATAGATTGGTAAATTCTCAAATGTCGAACACAGGACTCCAAAAGAAAAGAAGTCAAGCCTTCTCGAAGGCATAGTTAAAAATGACTAAGACTCCAAAGTAGTCTGAGTCTCAATTAAGAGGAGGCATATTTTGTTTGAGGGGAGGTGTTGGATGATAAAAGTCCCACATCGGCTAATTTAAGGAATGATCATGAGTTTATAATCAAAGAATACTCTCTCTATTAGTATGAGGTCGCAAAGTCAGGAGAGGAGTGCTTATGCTCAAAGTGGACAATATCATATTATTGTGGAGAGTCGTGTTTTTTTAAAAACTTAGTAGTACGATAAATGTATTTTTGAATTTAAAAAAAAAAAGTATTTTTGAAGTTTATTAAAAGAAAATTAAAGGTATTAACGAAAATTTTTAAAATTCACCCATAATTGAACAAACCAAATATAAGCTCAAATTCAGGGGCAATAATGTGACGCAATTGAAAAAAACAACCATTTCTCTGCTTTAATTCATCTTTTTTTTACTTTCTTCCTTGCTTATAAAACAGTTTAAACCCTCAATTTTTCTCCTCAGAATTTTCCCACCAGCAATGGCAGCCAAAGAAATTCTCCTACGTATCGATCTACTCTGGTTTCAGCATGCACTTTTCACCGGAAAACCACTTTTACAGACCCGCCCCATGGCACCGGGAAACCGCTTTCACAGACCCGTACGGCAAGTGATTAAGCTGAGATCACACCATTAACGCCATTTAACGCCACAGATCATTTCTCCTCTTTCTTCTATTTCAAAATTTTCTATTATACCCTCTTAATTTCCTTCTTTAAAATTTCCTTTATTTAATTTTTTTTTTTTTAGTTTAATGAATAAATCTATTAAATATAGTTGAAACCTCAAGAATCTAACCCTTGGACCTATTCACTTACATGCATATTAAATATAAATATAAAAAATTTAGAGATTAATCTTGTAACTTAACATATATTAATAAAATATGATAATTCATGGATCAGTGAAGAATATAAACAAATCCCAACTTGTTCCATGAATCAGTTGGTAGAGAGGATGTTTTTACAATAATTACATAAATGGATGATGATTTGATTTTTGTTGGATTTTTTTTTTATTTTTTCAAATGATATTGATTTATTATTTACGACTATAAAGCTATTGGATATAAATTAATATATATTTTTAATCACCTGGTTAGTTATCGTTGCTCGAGATTGACTCGGGAAGTTTGAAAGGTGGAGGCTTGTCAACGCCCCGTCGGGAGTACTCTCTCCATCGTCGAGCAGCAGCTGCAGCTCGTTTTGCTCGTTCCTTTGTTTCCTCTTCTGCAACCATTTTAAAACTAGTTTTAGTTTTTGTTACTCTAACGACCCCGGCCCACTGCTAGCATATACTGTTTTTTTTTGGACTTTTACGTGTCTATTAAGGGTCTTTTTTGGGCTTTCACTCAAAGCTTTAAAACGTATCTACTAAGGGAAGTTTTCCACACCCTTATAAATGGTGGTTTGTTCTCCTCCCCAACCAATGTGGGACATCACAATCCACTCCCCTTCAGGGCCAATGTCCTCGATGGCACTCTTTCCTTCCTCTAATCGATGTGGGACCACGCCCAAATCCACCCTCCTTTGGGGCCTAGCGCCCTTACTAGCACACCGCCTCGAGTCTACCCCTTCGGAGAACAGCGAGAAGGTTGACACATCGTCCGGTGTCTGGCTTTGATACTATTTGTAACGACCCAGGCTCACCGCTAACAGATATTGTTCTATTTAGGTTTTTCCTTTCGGGCTTTCCCTCAAGGCTTTACAACGTATTTACTAGGAAAAGGTTTCCACACGCTTATAAATAGTGGTTTGTTCTCCTACCCAACGAATGTGAAACATCACAATTACTGATATTAATATTTCAATGAGCTGAATTTAGGTAAGCTTTGAAGTTCATGAAGATTACTAACCATTAGCTGGATTTGTTTGATCTTTAGGGCTGCCCCAAAGATTGGTCCAATATGAATCATTGCTTTCAGAACCTTTCTTCTTCGTCATCCTCACTTTTGCTTGTTCCTGCGCTCCACGTATTAGAAATAGCCATAAAATTAAGCGCTCATCATCATAAGAACTTACCATGACTTTTGATTGCCTCTTCTCCCATCGAGTACTAGCCTGCAACATTAACAATCACGGGAAGCTCGGTTAGGACCGCACAACAACGCATATTCGATTGATCTAGATGAATACAAAAAATAGATTTATATTAATCTAGATGAACAAAAAAAAATAAGTTTATATTAATGACGATTATTGGCTAAAGATTTATATTGATGACTTCAGGTAAGTAAGCAAGAGAACATACATAGAAGTAAGCAAGAGAACATACAGAAAAGTCAGAACGTACATCTTCAAAGCACGGCTGTTACAAGTATGTATATGATGCCGCTACGGATATATATAGTTTCAGTTTACCATATAGCTCTACCAGATATAACCATAAGTATACGACACTGTCCTAGTTTGAGTTTACTATATATATATATATATAACTTTAATAGATATATCATCTATTATATATAAATATCTATCATATATATCTCAATTTGATCGAAGAAAAAAAAAACTAAATTTAAATCTTATACGAATGAGATTAATTTAGAGATTAAATAGAATTTAAAAGGTTCATACCATTCTGAAAACATCCACGGCGGATGATCCCATTCCAGAAAGCATAAACGCAACCTGGCCATAGACATTCAAATTAGAAATTGAAAATCTAGGACAAAGAAATTTCGGTATTACATACATTCACTCTTTCGACCCGCCGCATTTCATCTTCGAGCAGAGATAATTGGGCTGCTGAAGTCCAATGGATGCAATCTACTGGACTGTCGAGGGAGGGGAAAACATGGATCAATGGTAGCATCAGGCAAATTTCTAAGCCAGAATTTGAAAAATCAGTACTCGAATTGGATCGACGACTGTGTTGAGGATTGTTGGTGGGGAGTCCCACATCGACTAATTAAGGGAATGATTATGAATTTATAAGTAAGGAATACATCGTACGAAGCCTTTTAGAGATATTAAAAGCAAAGTCATAAGAGCTTATGCTGAAAGTGGACAAAATAGACAATATCATACCATTTTGAAGATTACAATTCAAGGTTCAAACTGATGCTGAGAATGCAGGATGTCAAGTGAATAAATTGGTCAAAGCTTATGATTTCAACTATCATTTTCTTAACCAAATTATAGCATGAAATGTTTGTAGTCTTGGTCTTGAAAATACATGTAATAGAAACTATTGACAATTCCCAAGCTATCAACAGCAAGATTTGGAGAACGAAAAGATGAAGTGAGTTCAGATTCAATCAGAATAAAGTGAGCTTACCAACTTTCAATTGCTTCTTGAACTCGTTGAGGATTCCCACACTGGCTATACACACGAGCTCGTCCGAAATCTTCTTCAATTCCGAAGACATCAGGGGCGACATTAGCACAATTTTTGCAGCCTGGAAGTCAACAAAATCTCAAACTCATTCTATTGTGCCATGATGCGATACTTCATGAAAAAAAATTAAGGGAACATTAAGAGAAGAAGAATACGTAAGATGGTAACACCCAAGTCTACCATTAGCACGTCTACTAGGAAGAGGTTTCCACACCTTTATAAAGAATGTTTCGTCGATGTGGGTCTCACAATCCACCTCCCTTGTGGGTCCAGCGTCTTCGCTGGCACACTACTCCACCCCCCTTGTTGGATTAGCGTCCTCACTAGCACATTACCCGGTGTTTGCCTCTGATATCATTTGTAATGGTCTAAGCCCACCGCAAGCAAATATAGTCATTTTTGAAGTTTTCCTTTCAGGGTTCTCTCAAGGTTTTAAAACGCGTCCATTAGGTAGAGGTTTCTACACCCTTATAAACCATGCTTATAGTTCCCCTCTCCAACCGATTTGGGATCTTACTAAAGTTACTGTTTCGAAATACTTTTTTAAGAGCTTAATAAAGTATTTTTAAGGATTCGGAAACAATTCAACAGAGCTTAAGAGAAGACTCCGCGTACCTATACAGCTGAATTCATCAACAAAAGCGAGATCCTTTGTGCTTGAACCATCTATAAAAGGGTTGATTGCTGTCAAAGCATATCCATGAATTTCATCGTAAACCATTCGCTGCACTGGGTCACTAAGCACCTGCAATTTAGCAGGAAGCAAAAAAACTACAAGATTTATACAGATATAATCTACAAATCTAGGTAGATTCTTCTACTTTGTTCATATATTATTTTTCCTTCTATTTATAGAATTTTCGTTCCTGTAGTGCCAAGCTTAAAGCATTTAGCATCGTTTGAGTTTGAAATCCTACCTCATAGACTTCATTAATGAACATGCAGAAATTGGTGGTGTCTGGATCATCGCCGCTCAAGTCTGGATGGCACTCTTTCATGCAATTATAATACGCCTTTTTAATCTGTCCCGGGCTCGCATCTGGAAGCTATAAACAAAAAAGAAACAAAAAAGAACAAAAAAAAAAAAATCAGGAACTGTGCATTTCAGTAGAAACAAAAATTCGCAATTGAAAAAAGAAAGAAATAAAGTTGCAGTCAACGAACACCACGAGAATTTTTTAAATTAGTACTTTATGGGAGAAGTATTCCTAAAACTGAACAATATTTTAATGTGTTAAGAGCATTTTTCACTCATGAATGATTCATAAACTACTCTATAACAGTTTCACAACTTAAAATCACACCAAAATGCAAAATCGAGGACAAGAACAAGAAAAAAAAAAACGATCCAAAACAAGAAAATAAAAATGCCTTACGGTTCTGATCAACTACTAGCCCTAAAATCTTCACATCCAATCTGAGACTAAAAAAACTCCATGAAACAACAAGGAGCGAAGTCGACAGATAATCCAGAGCCTAAGAAACGGCGTTCATAGATTTTAACAGTTCAATACCAAAAGAAAATTCAGATCGAAATCGAACGGCGTACCAGTCCCAAAACGGCATAATAATCATCGGCAATGGCCTCCGAATCCCTCGCTGCGACTTTCAAACTGCCACAGTTCCGTCGTCCAGCGCCGCGGACAATCTTGCCGCAAGAACCGGTAGGCTTCGCAAGGGAGCGCCATGGGCTCAGAAACGGAGTCTGAACTTTGATGGCCTCGGTGCAAACAGGGGAGAGCAGCTGAGCCATTGCAGAGGGAGTTGCATGAAACAGAACATAACGAAAAAGAAAACAGGGGTAAAAATGGAAAGAATTATGGATTTTTTTGTTGGGCGTTTAGGGATATTTAGAAATTATGAGGAGGAAGAAATTTTGACGTGGAAGGGTAACTGATGACGTGGCGGATTGTGAGCCAATGAGCTCCATGAATGTGGACGAAACGAAATTAGATAAATGTTGTTAGAGAAGTGGCGAGAGTGTGCATCTTACAGAAGCAAGGCACGTGCCGGCTTGTGTATTATTGTTGCCTCACGTGCAACGGTGTCGTTTCATTCCATGAAACTTAATTATCTTTTAATTCCTAACGTAATAACTCCTCAGTTTTCTATTTTAATTCATGAATTTTATATTAGGATCACAATTGTGTTTTGGTTAAAATTCTCTTTTATTTTTAAATGTAACAAAAAAAATTTAAACATTATTCTAAAGATCTTTTTTTTAGTGGGATACTCATTTATCTATTTTTCACATTTCAAAATTGTTTATGGGATGTCTTACCTTGGTTGAGCGGAGAACAAACCATTTATGAGGGTGTGGAAACCTTCCTCTAGAATGCTCAAAGAGGACAATATCTGCTAGCAGTAGATCTGGGTAGTTACAAATGGTATCAGAGCAAGAAACGATGTGTCAACCTTCTCGCTATTCCCCAAATGGGTAGACACGAGGTCATGCGCCAGTAAGAATGCTGGGCCCCAAAGGGGTGGATTTGGGGGCGATGCCACATCTATTGGAGGAAGGGAAGAATGCCAGCATCCTCGCTAGACCTCGATTGGAGGTGGATTGTGATGGGAGAACAAACCACCACTTATAAGGGTGAGGATTGGAAGTGGATTGTGATGTCTCACATTAGTTGAGTAGGAGAACAAACCAACACTTATATAAGGGTGGGGAAACCTTAGCCTACCAAACGGTTTTAAAGCCTTGAAGGGAAGCTCGAAAGGGAAAGCCCAAAAAAGACAATATCTACTTATGGATTTTAGTCATTACTATTTATTCGAAACACTTATATTTTTAGTATAATCATATTTAAAAAAAAAAATTGTATCATTCAACAAATAATTTGTTATCGAAACTTACACCTTAATGAATTCAAATCTATATCAATATAGGCTGTTTATGTTAAAAGTTTTCCAATTTTTTTTTTTTAAAAAAAAACAATTGCTTTACAGCTTAAAATGTTCTCAAATTACTAAAACATAAGACTGCCAACAGCTTAAAATGTTCTCAAATTGATTCTAATTATCTTCATTAAAGCCGAAAAATATCCAAAGAAAAAGAAACAATAATAAAGAGCTTCAGTCAGGCTAATGGTAAAAGCACAAAATTTTATAACTTGCACACTAAATAACTCTCCATCTATTTGAGAAATCCCTCTGAAACTTAACCAGTGAGTTGCTGAGACTTGTTAAGAATAACTCCCTCGTATTTCACCTGGAACCACTTCATGGCGTCCTCCTTCGTGACCCTGTGCTGGATCCCGACACGAGACTTGCACCTCCTGCGACGCCCCACACGGTATCCTGGTCGCTCCAAGACAACGAAGAAGTCCATACCGTAAATACCGGTGGATGGATCGTACCTGAAACATCATAATCACACATAAACACGAGATGGGTTACAAGAAAACTTCAAAGATAGTGATACCAGATTAGTCTACACAAGATTCGGGATGCCCCTACTCCTTATTCCCTCATCCTGAAGGAAATTTCAATCACAAGCCCTGAAGCCTTCAAAGATATCGTCACAAATTACTGAGTCAGGACTAAAATTTATGTCCCCACAAAACATTGTCAAAAGCACCCCCCAACCTTAATCTCAATCCCCATATGTTCTTCGACTACCGAGAATCGGGCAGAAAAATTACCATCACCATTGCCAAAAATCCGATCCCACAGGCATGAAGCAATTGGTAGAAAACGGCACAAATCATTCAAGAAAGAGTCAGGGGCTAAAATTTATATCCCCACAAGACATTGTCAACGGCATCCCCAACCTCAATCTCGATCCCCATGATAGAAATCACGACTCTCCACAATGGTATGATATTGTCCACTTCGAACATAAGCTCTCATGGCTTTGCTTTGGGCTTCCACGAAAGGCCTCGTACCAATGGAGATAGTATTACTCACTTATAAACTCATGATCTTCCACTAAATTAACCAATGTGGGACTCACTCCAAAAAATCCTCAACACCCCATACGTTATTCAACTACAGAGATTCAAGCAGAAAAATTACCATTTCCATTGCCAAAAATCCCATCCCAATGAATGACTACTTAGAAGTAAACTAAATTCAAACGCAATGCAAAACAGAATCAGCTAAGCAAATCAGATTATAGATCTCGAACCAGATTAAAGGCATATTCAGATGTGTTTAAGGGCTTACTTGATTCCAAGATCAATGTGTTCTTGAATACCAAAGCCAAAGCATCCAGTGTCACTGAAGTTCCTGCGAAGCAACTCGTACTCCTTAACCTTCAACCCACTTTCCAAAAGCTGCATAGCCTTCTCGCCTCTAACGGTGACATAGCAAGCAATCTTCTCATTACGTCTGATTCCAAATGAACGCACAGTGTATCTCGCTATTGACCAAAATAACAACAACAAAAAAAAAAAAAAAAAAAAAAAAA